CACACGGGGGCGCCGATCTCCTCATATATGGCTGACGGTATCGAAAAGACCGCCTTCACTACCCCATGATGACCCACTTCATCCCAATTCCACACAAGCAAGACATAGCAAAATCACAACACAATTAATCAAACATTGCATTTAAATCCAGCTTATTAAATAAACAAAGATTATGCAAATGTACAAATATACAAACATATACAAATAAGTAGAAAAGCAATGAATGTTTATGCAATAAATTAAATAAATAATAATTAATTAAATAGGTGACTATAATATTATGTAGTAGTATCTCTATGCATGAAGCAAATACTAATGCACTATTTATTATAGAGGATAAGAGCTCTAGTTCTGGTTTTTGATTCAGGAGTAGCGAACGAGCTCGATCGACCAAGGAGAAGTTAAATTAAGAGGAGATAAATGAATAGAGTAAGAAATCTCTTTAAATAAATTAGCAACTAATTTACTAGCTATAATTATAAATAATTAAGATTCTGTCAAAATTTCGGAAGGCTATCAAGAATCATAGAAAAGAAAGCCAGAATGGGGGCTTTAAGACTCCATGAAATGGCAACTTCCTTTATGAGTTCTACTCAGAAATTGATTCAATAAGAATAAAGAGAGATGTTCTGAATGGAGAGCGATTTTAGTGGAAAGAGAGTACATAAGAGATAGAAAATAAAAAAAAAATTGACATGATATTTTTTAATTCATTTATCAGTTGACATAATAATGTCGCGTCAGCATTTAACCGGTTCTTTACCTGAAAATAGACTAATCGAACTTTCTTATTACTCTTTAAAAGTTCATACATTTTTTTAAGTGACAAATTGTAGCATAGAGCAACTAAGCAATACTCTCCATAGGAACCACGATTAAAAATAAGCCCACAAATTATACTACTTCAATTAACGATTAATGATGCTTGGCCATTGTTCTCGAACAATCCATTTATCGATTCGAAGATGGCTGTTGATAGGCGTAGTCTTCTTCGTCAACCCCCGGGTCATGTTTCGGGTTTAGACCGGATCTTTTGTCTTCTTCCTGGGGTTTCATCCCTTTCTCTAGTATCTTCCATTTATCCTTTTTGACCATTCATATAAAACGAGTAAACGAAAATAGAAAATTTTGTTTTATAACATAAATTAAAAAATTTATTCGTCTGAGGCAATTTACCATATTCCGTTCGTCACAGTTCAGGCGTCCTAGGGTGGCGAACCTTCAATCAAATATACCCTTTTCATAATCTTTCAACTATCTCTCTCCAAGTATCTAACCGCCTTTCCTGATATCTCTCTTGTTTTTCTGCTGTAACTTTTCTCTCTCTTCCTGTATCTTTGCCCTTTCCTGAAATCTCTCTCTTTGGTCTCCATTATTCATGGAGTCGAAAAGCATGTTGGTCATCTCAGTTCATGATAGTAATAGACACACCAATAAAGCTTATTTGAAATATATATCTGAGCAAAACCCGTCCCCAATTCCTTGCTTTCTGATTGGATTTTACCCTAAAAGCGGCTCCAAGCGTCGCTATGCAATACTCAATGGCAGCAGTTTTGTTGCGAGTCTGGGATATCCTTTCGAAATATGTATTCGTAACTTGTTTTTTCTTGTTTATAAACGAAATTCCATGAAAAAAAATCTTATCCCGTTCTGTAGTTTGCACTTTGTCCTTGGAGCGATTATCTGGAAATGAAATTTATTCAGGAGAAATTATATGCAAATGAATTTTCATTAAAAATTTTCGCTTACAAGTAAACTTTTTTGAGCTTGTGATTAGAGTTAATTAATTACTTGTTATGTTTAGAGTTCTGTTCAAGCATGACTGACTCTTTGGAGTAGATCCATAAGTAATTCTTATTATAGAATGCACACTCACAAAAGTTTAGAGTTGATCTGTGGATTCTATCAGTTTTGGTAAAATTTGGTTCAAGCATAATCAATTCCGTAGAATCAGAATTTTTTATTTTAATTGAATTTTCATTTATGCAAAACATGACATAATGGATTTGTAAATGAATTCCATAAAATTTCATGGAATAATTCATTTATACCAAACAAACTCTAATCCAAAACGGTGGTTAATTTTATATATTTGTGGCAAAGAACTTGTTTGTGCAATTGTTCCTTAATATCTTATACAGTATTATCGTAAACATGTTTTTCTAGTTCATTATATAAACGAAATTCCATCGACAAAAAAAATCTATATCCGTTCTGTAGGTTTGCCACTTTGTCCTTGGACGCGATTATCTGGAAAGGGGGAAATATAATTCAGGATAATTATATGCAAATGATTTCAATTAAAATTTCAGCTTAACAAGTAAACTTTTTTGAGCTTGTGAATTACGAGTTACATCTAATTACTTGTTATGTATTAGATCACTGTTTCAAAGCATGACTGACTCTTTAGGAAGTAGATCCATAAGTAATTCTTATTTACTAGAATGCACACCTCACAAAAGTTATAGGTTGATCTGTGGAATTCTATCGTTTTGGTAAAATTCTGGACACTATCCACAGCATAATCCAATTCCGTAGAAATTCAGAATTTTTTAATTTTAATTGATTAAAATTTGGTTCAAGCATAATCAATTCCGTAGAATCAGAATTTTTTATTTTAATTGAATTTTCATTTATGCAAAACATGACATAATGGATTTGTAAATGAATTCCATAAAATTTCATGGAATAATTCATTTATACCAAACAAACTCTAATCCAAAACGGTGGTTAATTTTATATATTTGTGGCAAAGAACTTGTTTGTGCAATTGTTCCTTAATATCTTATACTGAAGATAGTTCTTTGCGAGAGAATGAAATTGCCCTCAATGAGGACCAGTGTGTGTCTGCCAATACTGCCATAGGAAATATGGTGACTGTTGAAATGTAAGTAGCAAACCGTAAATTTCAGTTTTATGAATTTCTCTTTGTGATATTCATTTTCCTACTATGATAAGATTTGAAGCTACCAATGGCATTGAAAAGATTGCGGAACTCTATGTATGGCTGGAGATGGATTGGCCTCAGGACAGAGAGGTATTGATATATTTCTCATTTCATTTCTCTTTTTGAAACAAGCTTAGTTGTTAATTCAAATACAAAGCTAATCTAGATATTGAATATTTTGATGTCAATAGATTGATGCTGAGGTCTTGGCGAAAAAGCTCATAAAGGCTTTCCATGACCAGGTTTCAGCTCCTCTTCTTCCTTGTGTTATGCTGTGTATGCATGCTTGAAAAAACATATCTATATATATATATATGTATTTTTGTTGGTTTTTTGTTTGCTCACCCCCTAAATATATCATAAACCTTTACTGAACATGGCGTTGAATTTATAATTTTTTAACATTATATAATTTCAACCGGAAGAATCAATGATGTAGCAGAATTTTCCTATTCAGGATTAGCTCATGAGATACAGTGGATCCAAGATACTTTTATTTCTGAGATACAGTGGATCCAAGATACTTTTATTTCTTACGTTTTCAAAAACATGATAAGCTAAGTTGCTATGTAACATACATGCCAACTCTCTTATTAAATACAAAATTAATCTGCTAAAAATTTCGCTAGACCAACTTAATGAAATTTTCAATTAGATTGACGCCAAATTTGGTGTAGTTAGTTGGATCTAACAGCAAACTAACTAATACATGTTTCTTCAAATAACATATTAGACCTTACATTGTAAAGACTTGAGGATGTGTTTAATTCTGCTGATTCATACCCAGCAGCTATGTTGTAGGCATTTGGTAAGGATTTTAATAAGTATTTGATAACTGATGAAATCAACTGATGAAAGGATTTTAATAAGTAGTTGATAACTGATGAAAGTCCCAAAAGCTGATGGTTTCATCAGCTCCATTTTGGAGCTTTTTCATATTTGCTGGTAGCTGATTTGTACTTATATTATATTTAGCCTCTATTAACCTTATAAAAATAATTATTAATAAAATTAGTATTTTTTTAATTATTAAATAATAATTATTAATAAAATTAGTATTTTTTTTTAATGATTAATTTTATTATAGTCATTTAAAAATAAAAAAATTCTATTAAATATTATATAAAAAAATTTTAATAAGTATTTTTTTATTTATATAACACATTAAGATAAAAAAATATATTTACCTTAAAATTAAAAATAAAATATACATTGTTCACCATAATAGATAAAAACAAGTATATCCTTAATGGTTATTTTACATTTAAACAAGAACTGCTATCAAATTTTTACCAAACACTAATATTAATAGTTAACCGTTCTTATCCACAAGCTATTAGCAACTACTATCAGCTATCATCAGCTGCTCTGAACAGTTAAACCAGACGGTCTCTTAATTGAAATTCTGCTAAAAGTATTAGAACATGGATGTGGACTGAATTTCACTTCATTACATTTTTATGCAAAATAATGTACACAACTTTCATCAATAATTTTTGTCTTCATTCAGTACATATATTGTAAAGAATATGATAAATTTGAATTATTTGGTTGGTTTCACTATAAATTTGAATGTCTGTTAGATAATAAGTTTGGTTTCACTATAGAAAATTGCTGGCATAAATACAGTTTGGTTTCACTATAGACAATTGCTGGCAGATGTTATCCGTGCTACCATGAAGTACGTTGAGGTTATTAAACTTAATTAGAATAAATTATTTTGCTTCCTGTTGGTTAGCATGCTAGGGTTGGACTTTGATGATGTTGGATAATGATTACTTCCTTTTTAATTTTACTTCCTCACCTTCTTGCTTTGATTATGAATGAAGATATTGAACTGTACATCACAGCTTTATCTGGTGGTAAGCCATTTATTGCCTCTATCCTATATTACCTTGCAACAAATTCTCAAGCATCTCTAAGTTGATATTTAGTTAACTATATACTCTGTTAATGATCAAATTTCAAAAGGTGATTGCAATCTAAAATTCAAAGATAACAATTTAGGTGTGGTGAATTTTCCCATGGCAATTTACACTGTTAATCTTAATCAATGCGGCCAGCCAATGTCAATGGCAATTTCACTGTTAATCGTATCATTGCGGCCAGCAATGGTGCCATTTCTAGGCAAGGAATGCTTGACAAGGAGACTAAGATAGTCTTTGTGAGTGAAAATCTCAAGGTAATAAATTCTTTTTCAACTCTTAAGATGTTCTCTTGTCTTGTCTTCCATAGTGTGACATATCATGTCAAGTTCAAATTGATGTTTTCTGCAGATATTCAATCAAGCTCTAGCATCAAGAAAGATATTTCATAGAAATATAAATTTCACTAACATAGAGCACGACCTGATGGCTCTTGGAGTTGGTGGGATGGAAAAAATTTTTAAAGAAATATTTGAGAGGGTGTTTTCAATTCGTAGTCTTGACCCTGAGCTAGCTCGACGGTAAGATCCTCAGTGCTATTTATTTGACTTACCTGGAAGATTAATATCTGGTTATATTTACAATCTTGTCATTTCATGCATCTTTTTTCAATTTATTTTCTGCTTATTACAGAATCAGTATAGGTTGTTCCTAGATCTTGTTTTCATCAAATTATGAGTAAGAATTTTATTTTCATTGCATAGTTTTATCCATTTTGCATTTTTTGGCATAACAGAATCTCTTCTGCACTGGCCAAGGAATATCATATAATCATGCTCTCTTTTTCTTACCTGGTGCATCTTAAATTCCGGATTCTCATATATGGTCTTCTATCATTTCCCTGTTATCCTATAGGTTTACTTACACTTGCAAAAGTTTTAGAGCCCATGTTTCAATTCTGCAAAAATCCTCAGGGTACTTTTGTCGATCTTCTTGCAATCTGAATCTTTCACCTCAATTAAACAACTGGGATGGCTCTTTTTCAGTTACAAGTGTGATTGATCATGGTAATATGATGGTTGCATAGTGATTTGAAATATCTGGGTCTAACTCTCTGCTTAAGACCAATCTAGCTCTATCATTATTTTGTGGTCCTTCCTGTTTCATGCAAGTTTGCCTATATTCTTCTATTTCTGTTTCTCAATGTCTTCCTCCAAATTGTCTTGAAATCCCTATCTGCAAATGGTTATCCATTTACGAAGAATGAACCTTAGCTTTTATTCTGGATGGTTGATGCTGTCTTAAAGCAATGTCTTTTGCGTTGCATTGCTGCAACACGTGTGAAGGTGATGACAAATTGCCTTTATTCGCCATTTATGCCAGTCCAGAAATTCATTAGCGGTTTGAGTACCGCTGAATTTCACCATTTTTCTAAATTCTTTTTGTTAAGTGTCCTAGCGTAGGATCTCGTCACAGGTCTTCCTAAGGCCGAGGCCTTGGAATTGCCCTTATTCTTGTTTCTGCCTATGATGGATATAGAGTTAAGAACTCGTTAGAGGGAGTTCTCCACCTCAAGACTCTGTTAGGGTAGGGAGAGCCTTTATCTCGTAATTAATAGAAATGTTGCTTGAGTCTTTATTGAATAAAAGTGTGCCTCTTATATAAGAGAGACTTACAGCAGATAAGGAATTATAATAAAGTAGAAATTCCTACTAATTAGGAATCTTGCTGCTAAAAAGAATTATAATAAAAATAAAAGTTCTTACTATTAAGGATCCTTCTTATAGAAGGAAACTAACTCTAGCAATAATAACATAAAGAATACTAAAAAGTGAGAAATTGCAATATCAATTCTGCACCTCACGTGCCACACGTCTTGTATACTTTCTGTCTTTCTGTCCACAAATGCGTCAATAACACTTTTCTAGATTTTCCTACCCATTTGAATTGTCAAATTGCTGCGGAATTTTGAATATTCTTGCCTGACATGACCATTTTAGCATAAAGTGAAGAGAAAGTACTGAATCTATCTCTGTTTTTTTTCCTTCCAGTCTAATATTATTAATGTCTGCCATTTGCTCACTGATTTTTTTGGTTGCGAATATGAATAACTATTTACCAAATCCAACTGTGAAAAAAAAAAATTCAAAATCCTTTTTTGTATTCATGTGTTTGTGTGTGCGCGCGTGTATTCATGTGTTTCCTTTCTACAACCTCTAACACCCTGCATCGAGTGTTACACGTCATTCTCACCTGTTTTTGCCCTGTGAAGTGGCTTGGGTTATCTGGAATCTCTTCTTTAGCACTTTTGATGAGCAATGGTTGTCTAGAATCTTTAGAGACCTTTGCTGATGAAGAGGATTTGATTACACAAAGGATGCTAATATTCTTTGGTATATATATATATATATATATACACACGCACAAATATATATAAAGTCCTAAGGAGTCTTCTATGGAGAAATCTTCAAAACATAGAGCATATCTGTTAGTTTGTGGGGGTTTATTTAGCTTATGCATAGAACGAGAGATTCTGACTACACAAAAGAGATGCAAATATTCTTTGTATTATATAATATATATATATATAACACACGCACAACATACTATAATAACAGGTCCTAAGGGCTCTTCCATATGAGAGAAAAATACTTCCAAACAATAGAGCATACTACTCGTGTAGTTTGTGGGGGTTATAGATACTTTTTGGGCTTTAGAGAGAGTCTCTATTGACTATTAATCCTACTCAATTGCGAGGCACTACAACTTACTTCCTTCTCTATGGGGGTTTATACTTGTTCCACATTTATTTTTTTTCTTATTTTGGGGGAATTACTTAGGAGGATTACCTGACCTCCATAAGTGCTCATTCATTCTCTTATCAATTCGATTAACTACTTTTTTTATACTGAAAACCTTTGACCTTATTTAAACCCTTGCCTTTTACTTGACGTGTGCACAGATCATAATTATAGTGCAAACATTATATCCGTTACTTCCATAGCTATAATTGGATTTCGATCCTGGAAATCTAACGCATATAACAGTATTCTAGTAACTTCTTTTACTGAAGGGTGCAGTCTATTTAGTGCCATTTATCCGTTTTCCAATGCTTATTTTGGATTTGATCTGAAATCTAGCATATTAAAGTAATTTGAAATCGATGATGTTTAAACCTTTAGAATTTGGTATGCATTTCATTCAAATCAAAATCCATTAAATATGTGGCAATCCAAATGATGAATTTTAATCAAATTCAAGTCTTACATCCAAATATAGTAATCAAACACAAAAGTTATGAATTCGTAGCATGTTGTGTCCAAAATGGTGGGGAACTCTGATGTTTTCCAAAAACTTTTTACATGAAACATACATGATTTAAGTTTAAGTCCTTCGCGCGTGGCTGGGAACCTTACTGTAATGTCTGGTGACTTTTATTTGTGAAGCTTTATATTTTGGTCCCATTTAACATACATGTCTTAAGATTGAGTCGGCTTCTTGCTGGGATGCCTAGCGGTGACTTCTATCTGTGAAGCTTCATATTTTGGTCATATTCTTACTACAACTATCTGCAATCTTGCAAATCATTTGTGGTTTCTATCAAATAAATTCAATGATGAACTTACAGTGTTGTTTCTTTCTAATATAAGTCCCATTCCCTACATAAAATACAATTTAAATACCAGTCAATTGAGCTGTCGTGCATTTTAAACAAAGACTCCCATCAGTACCTTCAATTGCAATTTTTTTTTCTCGAAGAGTTCTAACCTTTCCATCTCCACAATAATAAACAGTCCCTTGTTTCTAATAAGAATAATGCATTGACCCGATCCTGTGTAGTGCTAGCAATAGCTTTTCTTCCTTTGGTAATAGTGCATGCACAATTGTTGTGATCATGCTGACCAGTCTATCTGAGTTTTTCTATATCAGAAATGAATCTTAACGTTGGTAGTTTTCCATATAGGATATAGTTAATACCTTTTTTTTTTGTTGTTAATACTAGTTTGGGAAGATTCTTATAAAACCTAGGAAGCCCTTTGATTGTGTATTAAAAAGAGAGCTCCCATTGTTTCCTTGAATACTATAATCTTCTTCTATATTGTCTCAAAACAGTCCTTTGCACCTTCCTGAGGAAGATTTTGATTCCAGAACATGTCTTACCTGCACTTTGCCCCATTTATTTGACGTCTTACCTGCACTTTGCCCCATTTATTTGATTCTGCACTGAACTTTTGCCCCATTTATTTGTCTTCTATATTGTCTCAAAACAGTCCTTTGCACCTTCCTGAGGAAGATTTTGATTCCAGAACATGTCTTACCTGCACTTTGCCCCATTTATTTTGTGTATTAAAAAGAGAGCTCCCATTGTTTCCTTGAATACTATAATCTTCTTCTATATTGTCTTAAAACAGTCCTTTGCACCTTCCTGAGGAAGATTTTGATTCCAGAACACGTCTTACCTGCACTTTGCCCCATTTATTTGATTCTGCACTGAACTCCCTCAGAGTCTGAATTGCTTGCCTCTCTTCCCCTTTTGTTGTTCTTTCAAACCTTAGCTGCAAATCATTCTCCTTTTGCCTCTCTCATATGACTAAACGGGTTTATTTTTTTAAAAGGTCTGAGACTTATTGTCTGCTATCTTCATCTTCATATTCAGTTGTATCCCTACTTGTTTTGCAGTTTATCCTTGTCATAGTTGCCATTGAATTTAGAATCTCACTTCAAGAATGTGGCTGGGAAATCTTAATTCTTGATAAATATCCTCTAAATAACAATCTATCCAGTATTGATAGGTAACATTATTTGTTCTCTGAAGCGTTTCTTGAGGTAATTCTGAGTTTCAATTATGTCGTCTTATGGGATCGCGAGCGTTTGTAATGATAAAGTTTTGAATTCTGTTTTATTCCACATTTAATTTTCTGCAATGGTTGAGGAAAAAGCATCATAATTTGCTGTGTTTCATTTATATATTTTCTTGTCTTTATAGATCTTTTATTCCTCTCATTTTCTAATTATTTTCTTAATACTGCAGATTAAACATAGCTCCTATCAGGGGGATACTTCTCTATGGGCCACCTGGGACTGGAAAAACGTTGTTGGTAAAAACAATTGCAAAAATTATTGATGCCAAGCCACCTAAGGTTTCTTCTTGTCCCTCTCCAACGCACATACATACTCATGAACTGGAGTGAGCAAAGTTTCGCAAAACTAAAAACCGCTGTGAACAGATTTAGTTCGATTGTTCACTTTATCGGTTTTGGTTAGTAGAATAAATAAGTTCCGCCTAAAATCGAACCATTCTGACCCAGACGGAACCGAATGGTTTGGTTTCCAAACTTACTTCTATGCGTCTCAATTTCAAATAAAAATGAAAGTTTTGTTTTTACGTTTTGGTTCTGTTCAGAACCGAACTACATGTTTGTGTCCTAAAAGCATGCTAAAGGTTCTCTTAACAATTTGTAGCTAGCTGTCATAAAAATAAATGAATAAATTTGCCATGTGGTGTTTGCGGTGTATGTTCTGCTGCTATATTTTTCTCATGCATTTTATACAATATGATGCAATGAAAATTTATAATATGTCAAAAACTCATATTCTGGAATTTTTTTCTCCTCATTGTTAATTGGATTTGAAACTTATAATTTTTCTACCCCTTGTGCAGGTCATTGATGGGCCTCAACTTCTGGCTAGTTTGGTTGGTGAATCAGAATCAAAAGTTAGAGAGCTGTTTCGTGAAGCTAGGGAGGATTTCAAAAAATATGGTATATGATGTGTATATGTTATACAATAATGTGTCTGCATTTTGTATACTCAGTTACCCTAATAGAAGTAATGTAAATTTATTATTGGTTTGCACTTTGCAGGAGAGCAAAGTCCCGTTCATATCATTATCTTTGATGAAATAGATTCAATTGCTCCGGTAAAATATTATATATTGTTGCCGGAACTATGGCATAGAGATTAATTTAGGATTTTGCTGGAACTATGGCATAAAGATTAATTTAGGAAGTGTGAATTTATGAAATCTATCTATTTGTTCTTGTCACTCTTATGTAGAAAAGGGGAACAACTCGCATGGAGAATGTGACTGACAGGATAGTTAGCCAATTGCTAGCCATGGTAATATATCTATTTATTTTCTATTTTAACCTCCTTGTTCAATTTTGGAATCTCAAACAATTATAATTTTATCAATCCAGATTGATGGCATGACGGAACTAAATAATATTCTTATTGTGGGAACAACAAACAGAATGGAATTAATTGATGAAGCACTCTTGAGGTATGCCATTATCTTTCATATATTTCAATAATCAAATTATCATACATGTTAAATCACAAATATGATTTTGAGTGCTTCATTAGAATATTTTATTTTTGATTATTTTATCGAAATGAGTGTTCTTGCATAAGGGTTAGGGATGCTTGCGGATTGGGTTTGGAAAACTGTACCTGATCTGACAAGGAACTTTTGCTCCTAATACTTCAACCAACTCGCCTCAAGTTGGCTTCTACCTGCTTTTTATCGTTTTATATATTTTGTTATTGTTTCCTTCAAAAATAAAATATTTAGAATTCTTCATTTTAGTTCCTTTCAAGTACATATATTTGTACTATTTGTACTCTTTTGGTTCCTTTCAAAAAATACACTGCTCATTAATAAACGGATCGAGTTGTACTCTTTTGGTTCCTTTCAAAACATACACTGCTCATTAATAAACGGATCGAGTAATATGCCCATTACGCCTTCGGAGAATATAAAGTATCTTAGGGGAATGGAAAGGGGAAAGGTAGTTAGGCCCTCCATGTGTTGACACATGCACCAGTGCATGAGTGACTTTCCGGTCTCTTGTTTCGCCGGTGACTATGCTACGTGACTTCCTTTGCTTGGGCAACCTCCCTTAACTATTGCTCAACCTATTTTCTTTTTTTTTACACACCTAAAGGGAAACAACCACCTCAGTTGTTATAGCAAATATTTTTTTTGTGATTTTGACCTTGGTTTTCTCTTTTCTTGGTGCTCTTTTTATTTGCTATTGGTTCCGATTCTGTTTATTTTTAATTTCTAGTGTTTGTTTATTAGGTTGGTGTTAAGTGATGTGTGATGAAACAAAAATAAAATAAAATAGAAACAAAAATTCTTTCTTAATGATAATCTATCTTTACAAATAAGTCCAGTGAAACTTGATGGTTCTAATTACCTTATTTGGTCAATATCTTGTCTCTTACTTATCAAAGCTCGAGGATTGGGGATATCTTATTGCAGATAAAACCCAACTAGAAACAATCAGCCTGGTGTATCCACAATCGGATTCTAAAAATTTACTTGTGATATGTTGGACATATGGAAAATATGGAAATTATAGAAATTAATTAGTTAGTTTATTAGCTTAAATAGGATTCAATAAACGATGGATTCCTAATTAGTATAGGATTCTAGATTTTAGTTAGTCTATTCCTAAATAGACTAAACTTCTATTTTTAGAATTTTCTAGTTTATCATTGTAACCTGTATTAAAGAGGTATTATTGCTATTAATAAAGTAAGTTAGAATCTTTCCCAAACACAATGTTGGAGCTCTCTTGAATGAGGTTCCATGATGTCGAGCTCCCTTTGATGAGTTTGAACATAATTCACAATAGGTTGCTCAAAGAATTGTAATAAGAAGTAGATCTTGGAATCAGATTTTCTAGTGAATCGCCCTGTGACAAGATCCTGGTCTAGGTAACATAAGAATTTGGTATCAGAGCCAAACACCATGGGATCCCTGGTCCTATAGGGTAACATAAGAATTGAGTATGCAGAAGCCAAACACCTATGGCCAATATCAGGATAGTGGAGATTGAGAAATTATGTTGCAGAAGTTGTGAACAAGAATGAGACACTAAAATTCAACAATTATCTCTTCAACAGCTGAAAGCCTATCTTGACATACCCAAAACAACAGTTTTGCATGAGTACAAGGGGACTCAACTGAGGAAATAGATGTTGGGGCACTAACAGTTTTAGGCCAGACAAGTTGTGTGGAGGATAGGTCAGCACTGCGAACGGAAGCATACTGAAACTGTTGTGCATCCATAAGCAGAGAGATATGTGCAGGTTATCTAAGCTCGATTTTCTACATATTGAATGTGCAATAATGACCCTTGAATCTGGTTGCAACAGATGTGAACAGTGTTTTTGCCAATCAACAACTGGCAGCAAGGGACTTGACGTAAGCCTAGCTGCCTTCACATGTGCGAACAGAGGACAAAGCCTCTATGGTATATGAACAAAGATTGCAGCAAGTAAGATACCAGACATCAATGTGGAACAAATTTGCAATAATAATGTACTCTGTTCAGATTTGGCCACCCTTGCAAGCAATCTGCTCGACGACAAAGTCAATTTAAAGCAAACAGGGACAGTAGAGAGTATCAATGTCAGTTCAGGGGCTGCTGGCTTCGCAAGATTCGGTGCGACACGTGATAACAGGTGGAATTTTAAATTCACGGTCTTGGGCTAATAGAGCTCTATCAATTAGAGGTTGAAGATTGCAATCTCACAGCACACGCCTTTGCAGGTTTTAAACGCCATGAGACCCTGGCTAGGCTTTTGAGAAGAAGCAACAACTGCCTTCATGCATTGCACCACAATGGTAACCATCTCTTTTCTGTCACAGATCAAGACTACCGTTCACAAACCAATTGTTCATCCGAGGTAGTGGCAAGCTCCTGCTACTATCAAAAGCAGCCATCTCTCCTTTAATTAAAATTTTCACAAGGCAGAAATTGGAGAAGATAAGCCAAGAGGTATTATGTTAGGATTGTGGGATTTGTTTGTTTTGAAGGGCACCTAGTGTATAGAGGCTGTTTCTGGTGCAATTTGATAGGTGGCAGCTCCAAAGATAATTCCATTCAATAACAATTGACGATATAGAAATTATGGAATTAATTAGGTTAGTTTGACTAGCTTTGAATTTAAGGATTCAATAAAATATGGACTTCTTAATTAGTATAGGAAACTTTCCTAGATTTTAAGTTAGTTATTCCTGTAGACTAAACTTCCTATTTTTTATAATTTCCTAAAGAGGTATCAATTTCCAAACTGAAGATTGATGCTCGTCTCTAACCAGGGCTCAAGGTTCAAAGGTGTCAAGCTCCCTTTGATGAGTTTTCAACATAAATTCACAATAGGTCACTTTAAAAGATTGTAATAAGAAGCAAATCTTAAGAACAAGAGTTTCTAGTGGATAATGAAAGACAGAAGCTATAACTATTGATTATGCACTTAACAGAACTTGTGCCAGAGAAATAAGGTCGAAAGACCCATCAGCAATGCGAACAGTTTTTTTGCCAGTACAAGATATAGGGTTAAACATTTAAGAACAAAGTCCTGTCATAGTGTTTATTTGTTCTGAATTTATTAAACAAATTGAATCATCAAATAGATTAAGTAAGAAGGGGGCCATACCAGGACTTAGCGTCACAAATTAGAAAGTAAGCTGCGGTGGATAAGAGTGAAAGTTTTTTGACAACATAAGCTGATAACAATTGGTACCTGCTTCATAGAAAAATTCCTAGCAGAAGATTGTTCAGGGTAAGTGTGCAACAAGTCTAGTCGAACCGATCCTTTTCCACCACGCTGACGAGGCCCATGCTTTTAATCTCAAGCGACCGTCTAAGTCAGTCGTTGAAGTAATATTTCCAACATGTTCTAATGTGGTTTTACAAAAACAATTCCCTGATTTATTGAAAATTAGATAATTATAGGAGGGAGAACACACAGTGCAGGGACAGATAAAAACCCAAAGAACAGTAGCAAAAAACGATTTCGAAATAGCCGAAGCAAAGAAAATGGTCACTAATCAGGCTGTACTGGATAGGAATGAATTCACCGGAAGTGGACGAACCTGCCGGAGTAGGTCCCGCCGAGAGAGGATGCCGGAAGGTGGCTTCATGCGCCGGCGCCTCCATGCGCTGGAAATTCAATCGGCGCGTGAGCTAACGCGCTTCGTCGCACGGCCACCAGATTTTAGGGTTTGGGTCGCCCACGGCTGGGCTTTCTTCTAGGGGTGGCAGTGTACTTCAACTCCACCCAGAAACCTACTGATCTTGAAAAAAGTTCTGGTACCCTGCTGCCTATACGATTTCCGATCTGGTTCGGTTTTGGTTCAAAAAAGGCCAAAAGAGTTTGGTTTTGGCTCTGATACCATGTTGATTTTAAGAACAGGTCTGGGAAAAATTTGTTATGTATTTCTTATATAAAACACAAGGTGGGAAAAAAATTTTGTTTATGTATTTCGTATATTTAATGGAAGAGATCCTATATCTATTTTATACACAAGTAATCTAATTACTAAATATGTGAAGAACGACAAATAAAGAAAGAGAGCAATATACACTCCTAAATAGCCTAGGTGGTTCCATCCAAAGATAACTCCTAAATCTGCTCCCATAAAAAGTCAACGATTGAGGCATTTTGAACTTAAGTTTTAGGTTCCAATACACTTGCTTCGGGGAACAAAGGACAAAGAGTCCCATGTCCACCACCTCCGTTCGTGGGTCTTTAGAGGTAGTCAACAGAACCTTTCTAGCAATTTCCATTTTTCTCTAATTCTTTATAATATGCTTCCAGCTCAGAAGAGAAGGGCAAGTCTTGCGAAGGTACTATAATATCCATCCATATGTTTAGTAGATTTGAATGTTTATTCGTTAAGAATATGTGGTAGCCATAATGTAAACGAAATTCTTGAAACTTGTGCAGTGATGGTCAAAATTCTTTTTTTGTCATTCCCGACTTGTTATGAAATGTATGGTCTCTTGTAAGTAAATTTATTTTATCCTGTTTGCAAAATCTTTTCGCGATATTTTGTGGAGTGTGCGAGAGAGTGTACCATTGAAAAAGCCGAGTTTGACCAACCTTTTAAGCTTTGCCTTTTGCTCTATTCTTGCGTCTACCATCACTGTGTGGGATTTATAAGTGTTTCTTCTATGTTTAAGTAAATTGTATCTTTATTGAAACCTTAAGTTTGTCACACCACCAGACCTGGAAGGCTTGAACTCCACATGTAAAGTAGAACCTTCGCTGAGTGAGTGAATGCTGTCTGCATACAGTATCTAATATGTGCAGTTGCTAATACTTTGGAGCAAAGGGTTAATGTCCAACCGAGATGTAGAACTTGAGAGATATTTGTTATGTTGTAATATATCGTCCAAAACCGTTTTTGACAAGAGTCGCGATGATCTTCAATTGGTATGGTAATTTTTCCTTTAAATTGGAAACAAATTAAATGACATTTGGAACAAATAATACATCTCTGAAATTATTGGAAATAAGAACAACGCAGTGGTGATTTATTTGGTAATTTTCAGTTTGTTTCAAGTCTTGGACAAAATAGAATGTTGTGTGTGCATATATAATAAGATCAGTACTAACTTGTTGCACCTTGAACTCTGTTTTGGTTTTCTATGCAGCTTACATGACAGATGGTTGGAGTGGGGCTGATCTTGCTGGTGTTGTGAGATCTGCCTTCTCTCATGCACTTAATCGCACACGTTCTGATGAAGGAGTCATTTGCGAGAGCCAGATAAGGCTATACCAATATGATTTTCTCCATGGTATCCACAGTATTCCCCGAGGATTTTTAGCTTAGTTGGTTTGAGTATATAAGATTTTCTCCCGCTTTCCTGTTGTGTGTATTGTAAACTTGTGTTATAAATAAATGTGTTTGAGTGTTGTATAGCCTATAAACTTATCTCACGGCTCACAGGTTTTTTCAAACAAAAATGTTGGTGTTTGGAGCTTAAACCAACACAATTAGTTTCCCATTGGGATCTCTGTTTTTCTCTTTCCAGATTGAAGGATCTTAGTGTAGAAAGTATATTGTGCAATAATATTACTTGTAATAACATCTGAGATGAAGTTTTTCAAAATTAATGTCAAACATTTAAGGATCTTAGTCATTCAGGTATCGATGCTTTGAGATGTTCTAGAACATTAAGAGAAGTTTTTCAAAATTAATGTCAAACATTTAAGGATCTTAGTCATTCAGGTATCGATGCTTTGAGATGTTCTAGAACATTAAGATATTAATTTATATTTCATGCATTATTATTTTCATTTATAATGAAAGTCATGTTTTTCAAAAATTTTCATAATTAAAACCATACAAACCAAGATGGTTGGATCCAATTTGATTTTGACGACAACTTTGATTCTATTCAAATTTGTTTATAACAATTGCTAGTAATTGTAACTAATTGAAGAAGCATACTAACCTTATTATGAACTCAAAACGACAGAATGAATTAAGGAAGTCTTTACTATAATAATTTTTTATATATGGTTTGATAATAAATTCAAATACTTATTTAAAAGTTAATATATGATATCTATTATTTTTTTCTTATACAGTCCGATTTTATAACATATGTTAGTGGATTATATGAGTTTCTGTCCCACATGGAAAAGATACAAAAGTAAATTATATATTAATATTATCATTATTTAATAAAATTTGAAATTAATTATTTAAATAGTACAAGTAATTGTTTTTAACAGTTATGAAATACGTTATTAATTTTGAAATTAATAAACTGCTAAGTGTCCGTTGAATACAGAATTTACGTATGTTCAAGGTTTCCTTATTGTTTGATCATGTTTTCTTTAGAGAAATACTGCTATTATATCCGAAATTCAATTATAGTGGGCACTTTTAATTCTTTAAGGATATTAAACACACTATTAAAGAATTTTTTCTATTTTTTCATATTCTGTATCTATTATTTCTAACAACATATGCTTAAATGTAAATCCATTGTTTTTTTTAATCTCTATACGTCTTTTTTTTCCTAAAAAAAATAATTGTTGCCCTATAAATGGTTAATGATATTATTTTTTTTTTGCATTTTTATTGGATTATTATTTTGAAAATAAAAAATAAAGAAATAATTACTCTTTTCACTTTTGAAGTATATACGTTTGATAGCTTGACTTATCCCCATAAGAATATATTATTATTTAAAATTAGATTTGTGTTGTTTCTTTTAAACAACTTATCCACATAAGAATATATTATTATTTAAAATTAGATTTGTGTTGTTTCTTTTAAACAACTTATCCACATAAGAATATATTATTATTTAAAATTAGATTTGTGTTGTTTCTTTTAAACAACTTATCCACATAAGAATATATTATTATTTTAAACAACTTATCCACATAAGAATATATTATTATTTAAAATTAGATTTATATTGTTTTCTTTTAAAGGACATTAATATGCATTTTGAGTTTGATTTTATTTCAAAGGGTTAATTATACATTTGATGTCTCAATTTATCAAATTTTTTTATTTTGGTATCTCAACGAAAAATATTTGCAATTGAGTGTTTAAACCGTTAAAAAATTTTCAATCAAGTGTATTTAACTTACATGACTTGCTGGAATTACAAATAAGAAATGCAGAGCCAACTTGATATTTTAAAATGTGCTGATTATATTTTAAGTGGGTATGCAACGTCAGATTCATATGTTAACCCATATAACAAAACTCATCTCTATTTTCCCTTGTCTCTTCCCTCTCTTGAACAAAAGTAAAAAAAAAAAAAAAAATCCCTCTCTTGAACCAAAAAAAAAAAAAAAAAAAAGGCTCTAATTTTGATATTTACAGCAAAAAAACAAAAGGAAGCACAAACTCAAAAGCGTTTTCTTTCTCTGCAGCCATCAATTAAAAAGTTGTGTTTATCGTTACTATTACTACCTCATGCTTTGTTTTTGTAGTTTGTTGAACAACAATAATAATACATTAACTTATGTTGGTGCCATGTCTAAGCCGCCGCCACCACCACCAAACCCACCACCCTTCTTCATTATCAACTATGTTAAACCTTTTATCATAATACTTTGATCCTTCTCCATCACCATCATCAACAAGATTACTACTATTCTAATTCAAAAACTCATTTCTTAATCTTGATATAATATGGTGTAAAAACTTTAAGATTTGAAACTAATTGCATTTAGTAGACTCATCCTCTTCAACCCAATAACTAATTGCATTTAGTAGACTCATCCTCTTCAACCCAATAATTTCTCGGCAACTAATCATAAAATATGCCTCATTTTCTTTCAATTCAAATTCCTCATCCAAAAACCATAACTTTGAGTAAATAAATAAATCAATTTTCAACAAAATAGGACAATTTCAAATAGTTTAGTCCCAAGTAAATCAAGAAAGAACCTAGAAGGAAGGCAATAAAATTCTAACTACAGATAAAAATTCAAATTTTGCCCCAAAAAAAATGGAAAAACAACTAAGAACTTTAAAGGCCCAATACAATCTATTTATACTATACCAAAATTGAAACTTTCTATGAACCTAGTCAACAATAATAACAAAATTCATTCTGAGAGGGAGAGCAAAGGCATCCAATTGCTATTCTCGAAGCGACCACCATTCCTAACAGGACCAATCAACACACTAGGATTTCTATGTTTACAAGCAAGGCTAGTACTTCTCTGTGTAGAATGTGAGACAGATATTAGATTTGGATAAAAAAAAAAAAAAAAAAAAAAAAAAAAAAAAAAAAAAAGAAGAGATATTAAGGTGTTTAACACCTGAAGAGTCGGATCTCCTATGACTGTCTTTGATGAACGTTTTTTGAAGGTTGGAGACGAGAATGCCATCGACAACGATGGTGGTAGTTTTTATGAGAAAAAAAAAAAAAAAAAAAAAAAAAAAAAAGAAGAGATATAAGGGTTTTACCTGAAGAGGGTCGGATCTCCTATGACTTCTTGATGAAACGTTTTGAAGTTTGGAGAAGAGATGAAGCGACAACGATGGTGGGTAGTTTTAGAGTTTGGAGGAGAGGTGAAGCCACAATGATGGTGGGTCGAGTGAGAGAGAGGGCGTTTGCTTTGGCAAAGCTGTTGGCAGTTAATTTGACAAATCATCAGTTGACATCTCAGCAAATTTTTCATATCAGCATACTTTCCATCGTGACTTGACAACACGTTTCGTATTTGTAAATTTGGCTAGCCATGTTAGCTGGAGACAAAAGATTTTTAACAGTTTAAACTACTGATTGTAAATGTTTTTCGTTAAGACACCAAGATAGAAAATTTGATAAGTTGAGACATCAAATTTAATCCTATTTCAAATGGCAGAATATATAAATTCACCCTTGAATTTTATAATTTTAACCTTGTGACACCCTAAACTTTGTGAATGATCTATTATGCACTTAAACTTGTAAATTTTAGTAATATTACACACATTTTATCATTGATATGATAATATCAATAATTTTTAGGATTTTTATTTTTATCTGCAAAATATTGACTTAATATGTAGTTAGTATGACATTTGAAATAATAATTTTCATAAATTTTAACTTTTTAATAAGTGCTTAATTGATATAATTTTTTAGGTTAAAGTATTTAATAAAATAATCGTAGTGGTATTTTCTATTATATCAGTAATAATGGTATTTTCTAAAAATATATATTATATCACTAATAGTGGTATTTTCATGTTTTATGTATCCATAATTAATGCTTTATAAAAATATATGATTCATTAATTAACAATAATTCTAATTCTTCTATTCATTGATCAACAAAAGTTCTAATTAACCTCAAGACTTGTACCTATCTGACCTCAGTCTGCCCCTCCCATGAACTACATGAGGAGCACGTACAACACTTTCATTTTTGTTAACATATTCTATTTTTCCAGTGGCAATTGTGTTCTCTACAAGCATCTTTTGGGCTTCTAGGTCATCACAATCATCATCATCCATTACTAGCAAGTTGTCATCGATTATTTTCCTCTCCATCACCTTGTAAGCTGTCATGCCTAGTTCATTGTTGGCTTATCGAGATTCCACCGTTATAGGATGAATAATGTGGCAGTATATCAGTAAATTATGTCATCTATCTCTTTTTGTACTTTCTTAAACACTTTGTTAGCGAAGACTTTTTGGAATTGCTTCTTAAACATATACTTCGACTGACATTTATTACCTTATACATTGAATTGTGCTTCTCTTGGAATTTCTTCTCTATCTTGTCACATATAGCAATCTCATATTGCTCTACAAACTGTTTTTGCGTTCTCCTTGAATTAATATTTCCATCAAAATATGCGTGCATAATCTCACTTCTCTATATAGACAACATTCCAACCCAAAACCAATTATTCAGATACATTGGCACCCATTCTTGCATATCAAAATACAACTTCAAAAGCCACTCATTTCCTTGTAGCCTATACTCAATTAGAAAATTCGACCATCTTCTTTCACACATTTCTTTGCTAAAGCTCTTGAATACAAGTGCTTTAAATGCAATCACACTATTGCCATGATCACTGACACCTTTTAACTTCTCAGGTAACTTGTATAAAATATGCCACAAACAAAACTTGCAAGGTAAATTGGTGGCATGCATATGTTATTATGTTGGATTTTATTATAGCAATAAACAAGATGATTATGACTAAATTTAGTATGGGTGCACTGTGTTAGGAAAAACTTATCTAACAACTTTCCTTATGCTCTCAGACTGATCTGTCATAATAGCCATGGGATAGATCATAGCCATTACTTCAAGCTATGTTTCAAACACCCACTTGAAAGTTGCTGCATCTTCATGTGCTATAAGAGCACATCTTAACAAAATGGATAGTTTGTGGTGACTTATTCCATCAATTGTAGCAAATGGCATTCTATATCTATTTACAAGGTATGTTGTGTCAAAAGTAACTACATCATTGAACTCTTTGTGCGCGACTATACCATGTGGTTGCACCCAAAAGACATTCGCAAGCCTGTCATTGGGATTAACTTTCATCAGATAAAAGAAATTAGTATTTTTCGTTTGCAAATGGACGAAAAATCTATGTTTTTCTTCTGCGTCCCGTCTTGTATATGTTCCTTCCTCCTTTTCTCTATGTAATTTTTGCAATCTTTTGGCAAACAACTTAGTTTATCCGGTCTGCCTTCTTGCACTTGAAGCATCTTGTAACTCTTGCAAGGTCTTATTCCACATGTCATTTGCCTTCAGCACTCTTTTCATACTATAAGGTATTTCCTATGACATTGAAGGATTAACTCGTGATTATGATGTCCAACGACTTTTCTAACCACCCATATTTCGGTTCCTTTAAGACTTGCATGCACCCATGCAGGGTAATTTATCATTTTACTTGTCTTTTCATAATACGGTTGACTCGAGTTGCAACGTATCACCTGGTACTTATATGTATCGCCATACTTATATGTCAATTTCTTTGTAACCCCATATCCTTTTAACCTTCAATGTCTTTTGTAAAACTCATACATAGACTTAGTCGATGGAAATTACATTGTTAGTTATGTGCCCTATAGTCAATTTAATTGATTATATTTAGGATATAATATTTCATGTATAAAATATTTTATTATTAATAAAAGGTATTTATTCATCTTTTATATTCTATTGATTGAATTTTGGTAAGAGATAAAGTCTATGAGATAATACTGCTTTGCAAAATAAATTATAATGTGGTTGTAATTATGAGTTTTATATTTGCATTAAAGCAATGTCTCTAAATATTACTAATCAATGTTCTCCTAATTATTGGACGATGATTAGAGCTGTTGAGACTGGTATATATTATGTTCTTTCCTTAACGAAGCAGCTGTTCTCATAAGCTGAGATATATGTAATATCTGGAACTAATATGTAGGTGCCTGTTATTTAAATAAGTCCACTAACTTGACCTGTATGAGAATTCCATATAGAGAGTTACCTGTGTCTATGGAATACTCAAATGATGATTGTGTAAATAATCCTTTGATTTGAAATTACTGAGCTATCTTGTATGGGGATGGCTATGTTTTGATTCTTCATATACATTATTCATTCATGAATAATAAGTAATGATTTTTTGAAAATAGTAGGAACCGTATGGAGTATTTGTGTAATTAAGAAAGGATTCATCACCCTAGGTAAATTAGGAAAAATGTTCTAATTGTTCTTTACTAGTATTAATAAAAAAATCCTTGCGCAATGTAGAATGAAATTAGCAAATTAGATTTGGAATTGCATTCAAATGATCAATAGCTATGATTAAGAGAACTAACATCACTTAATAAAGTAGAGATACTCCATGCTTAATTAGTAAATTAGAACATTAATGATGAATGAATATTAATTATACTGATAAATCATGCACTGAAAGGTTAAGTCAAAACCACTTTGACTTTCCAAATATTTGAATAGTCTTGACATGTTGTTACACAATGTACTTGACCTTCAAATGTTAATTAATTAATTTAATTTACATTTGTTGCCACATATTTGAAACCTAAAAAGTCATATACATGAGAATGAATATGAGAAAGTGAAAACGAGAAATCAAATCAAGTATGACTTGATTACAAATTAGTTTTAGGAAATTAAGGGCAAAATTGTAATTTATATTTAATTACAATTTTACCTAATTGTCCTGCCACATATTTTGAACTAAACAGTCAAGTATACATGAGAATGAATATGAGCTGAAAGTGAAAACGAGAAATCAAATCAAGTAGTGGACTGTGATTACAATTAGTTTTAGAAATTAAGAGGGCAAAATTGAGTAATTTATATTTATTACATGTTAACCTAAATGATAATTGTTATTGACTTCAATGTAATTATATCTAAAATTTATTAAGGATAAATTTTAGATCAAATAAACCTATATAATTTAATAATGATTTTATTCCTTTAAATAGTTAAATAAGATATACATATAATTGTTAAATTAAAATCCTATTACTATATTGTATATGATTTATGTTATTACATTCGTTTAAAATAATAATTAGGTATGGCATATATAACATGTTTTTAGTTTATTAATTTAATTTTTTAATAAATATTGATATATTATTTATTTTATGACTAGGGTTTTATTGTTATCTTAAAAGAGAGTAAGAGTTGTTACTGCATAGTTTACAAGAACAACCCATAGAGCCCTTAAAGATATGCTAAGGCACCATTTAAACGTTTCTAAACATAGAGCCTAAGATAGCTAGCACCATTATACGTTCTAACCTCTCAACCCTTTAAAATAGTTTTAGAGTTTTTCGATTGTCCATTCGTGTGGATACTACAAGAGGCTAGACACTTGGACGGCTTGTTTCTTGCGACAACTTAACCGCGTAGATCGAAGTTTTGAAAAATCTGCAAAAAAAATATTCTTCTAAACAATTTTTATTGCTTTAATCGTTTAAATGGATAACTGTTAGTATAATTATTTTGTTATAATTATATAATTCCGCTGCATATTATTGATATTGAAATCTAACAGCAATATCAGAGTCATCGTTTAAACATTTAAGGTGCCGAGTTTTGTTGTTTTGACAAAAATCAGATCTGATGTTCATTAAATGTTTCACAGATCTATTTTTAATTAAATTTCATTTAATAAAATCTAAAAAAAATTTTAATTGGATTGAAAATTTGTTTTTGACGGAAAACAGTTTAGATGCAACGTCAAAACCCGCCGGCCACCGTAGAGCCGTGGGCGGCTGACATCACTACCTGCTCGCCTGGACGTGCGCCGGTCCCTGCGAGTGCTCCGGTTACGGAGCGGCTCCAATAGGTTCTGCGTTTTTCAGTTTAAATATATTAAAAAAAAAAAAAGAAACCGTTTTCCGGCGAGTCAGGCGTCGATCGGAAAAAGGCAGGGCTTTCCGTAGTCTTCCGGTAACCATGCGACCTGCATCGAGCCGTGGCAAGGTCGCGGCGACGCTGATTTTACTGGGTTTGATGTGCGGCGGCAGCGGCGAACAGTTTTCAATCGAAAACGTTTGCTATTTGTGAAGATGACGACGTGAATTACGTATTAGTCCCTGCATGTTTTCCAGTTTTGCAATTGGGTCCAAACTCGTTTTAATATGTTTCAATCAGGTTCTAAAATTAATTTTGATTGTATTTTA